GAGAGAGAGAGAGAGAGAGAGAGAGAGAGCCATGGAGAGAGAGCCATGGAGAGAGAGAGAGCCATGGAGAGAGAGAGAGCCATGGAGAGAGAGAGAGCCATGGAGAGAGAGACACGGAGAGAGAGATGGGGGGGTGGGGCGGCACAGCTACCCGGCAGAATGAACAGTATGCTTATGGAGAAGGCACAGGAGAAAACCAGCATATACTCTTGGAGCTTCTATTTCACTTATGGTATATAATTTAAAACATTTTGATAAGAAAAATAGGGAGATATTTTAAAATAGAATGTAAAAGCTATGTTAATTTTAAAGCTAAAAATCTGAGCTTTAGAGTTCCCATCTTATTCCAAACTAGATTGCTTCTGGTTGCTCCGTAAGGGGGGAGTGAAAAAACTTTGGAAAGCATTGTCCTAAAAATGTAAGTGCTGAAAATAGTTTTAAAGCATTATTACTGAACCAAGCACAGTCGTAAACTATAAGGGCGGCACTTACAGACAAAAAGGCAACCATTTGGCAGTCCTTCAAATTGATACATTTAGGCAGTGATTTTCTGATGCCCTTAAGGAAAAGTCTGAACGTACTTCAAGAAAAGCCAACGTCCCACGCAAGTGGTACAGTGGAAATATGTAGAAGCAAACCCTTCTGGGTCACATTTTTGTAGCCATCAGAAAAGATCCTCTAAAAAGGCATGGAGTCTAGGAAACAATGATCACTCACCAGAGTGGGTCTGCATGAGACACGCTGATGACAAATGCCTCTCCTGTTTGTCCAGAAAGAGTCCGCCCACTTTTATCAACAATAGTCCCTGAAATCTGAATTAACAAAGTAAACTCAGTCAACAATATAGACTCACATTAAGAACACAGTCACAAAGACAAAATACAATGAGCAAGCTGACTTTCTTTGTTCTTTTACAAGGAAGAGAACTGTGGAACTCAAAGGGAGTACTTTTTATAAGGGTCAAAATAGACAAATTCAAAGTGACTGGGGGAGGAGTCAGCAAGTCACAGAAACAAAGAAAAGGGAAAGTCACTGAGGCAAAAGCAATGACTGAAAAGCTTTAGAATTCACACAGCCAGCCCTACTATGGAGAAGGCTTTCCCACAGATACCTCAGGTATCCTGGCCTCCTGCTGTTGAACATCTGAGTCTTCTTTGTTTTATCTGTTTTTTGTGAGGAAGATCAGCTCTGAGCTAACATCCATGCTAATCCTCCTCTTTTTGCTGAGGAAGACCGGCTCTGAGCTAACATCTATTGCCAATCCTCCTCTAGATAGTTGTATGTCATAGCTGCACATCCTTCTAGTTGCTGTATGTGGGACGCGGCCGCAGCATGGCCGGAGAAGCGGTGCGTCGGTGCGCGCCCGGGATCCAAACCCAGGCCACCAGTACATCTGAGTCTTCTAACTTGTTTGACTCTATTCTGTTCTCACCAAGTGATCTGTGGGTCTGCCCACTGAGTTAATAAACTGGCAGTCTGGTGTTTTCAGTGTTGGGTACTTCACAGTACCATTAGCAGTCAAGTTCATCCCTCCTTGGGCCTAAGGAGAGTGAGTCTCTAAGCCTTTGGCTTCAGGAGACCAATTTCAGCCAGGCTTCTTTGGAATAGTTTGCCTTCCCCCAACCACCTCTAGATTCATTTTCTTTGCATTTTCAGAGACAAGACTGCTACTGGTCTAGAGGTAGTGGTAGGAGGGAGGTGAACAGAGGACGCTAAAATGGGTGGTTCCTAAAAGATACCATCAATAGTTCTACTAAGCAAGGAAAACAGAAACCCTACTCTCAAAATGACAATATTAATAAAAAACAAAATTCATCATGCAAACACTGTAGAACTTACAAAGATAGGCCGAGGAGCATACCTCTCTTCAAAAAGTTTTTGAAGTGCAAACAAGGCTGCCTGTAGGGGAAAAAAGAAGAAGATCTTTACTTCTGAGACTGTGTCCAAGGTCAGTCTAACTGGCTGATCAGAGTGTTCCCCTTTCCAAGAACTCTTCAGGTAAGACACACATGTTGTTCTCTGGCGAGAAGAAACACATCCTTCCTATAGTGCACAACCCAGTGCCCCTTTCTCAAGTACAACACTGCACATACTACAAAAGAAGAGTGCTGACAGAAAGTTCACCTATAAACTAACATTTCCTCCAAGGAGGAGCTGAAGAGCTACTCTTTCTTCCTTCCCTCAATAAAAATTATAAACAGATAAATAAGAATGCCTCTGCCTCCCACATCCTCACATATACATGGTAAGTATATGAACCAACAGTGTGTGTCATTGCAAAAAAGAGTGTGAGCTTAGAATGGGTTGTAGCGGTATAATTCCCATGTTACTCTGTATTGTCCATGTTTTATTAAGTTCCAAGCAACATATCTTCTCTTTCTTTTTATCATTATATTTCTTGATTCTAAGGTGGGCGTATTTTCATACATAATTAATTTTCAGGAATTAGAATGCAACCTTTAATTAATGTGTATCTTCATTGTGATGGTGGGTTTTTTTCCCCATGGAAAGTTATTAAATCAATAATATCAGAATTTATTCTTTTAGAACTAGACAAATTGATCCTAAAGATCTTATGGAAAATAAACATTTAAGAATAGCCAGGAAAGTTCGGGGGGGGAGGAGAGCGGTTAACAAAAAGCCTACCAGTTACTCAGACATATTTTAATTACAATGCTATGGTAAATAACAGGACAGTAGTGTGACAACAGCAGACAGATTACTGGAATAGATCAGACCCAGATGCACTCCTGAATTTAGGGTGATATGACATTCCACATGATTCCTATCATTGGGAAATAATAGGATGTTTAATAGAGGGCATTAAGAAAACTACGCAACCTTAGAGAAAAAGAGTAGTTAGGTCTCTACCCAGATCCCTACCCTATTCCTCACTCCAAAATAATTCCAGATGCATCATGAGGGAAACCAGTCCGTCTATAATCAAAAGAATGTTATGTTACACATACTAAAACTTAAAAACTGAACTAAGAAAATTTGTCCTTACTGCTTTATTCCCTGCTGTTATATCTCCCTTATTTCTAATCTAAATAATACTGTGACTCTTTTCAAATGTATATCTGGATCTCATTTCAGATATATTCCTTATTATGTTTGTTATTGCTCTTATTTTCAAAATGTATACCTGAGTTGTTTTTCAAATTATAATTTGTTTACTGAAGATTCACAAAATTTCTGAACAAGTATATAAGAGAACCGCAAGAGTGATGTATTAAGAATGAGATAGCTAGTCATCCAGCTTCTGGCTGGTAATCAGTGCCCTCATTCTTTGTGTTTGCAAGTATTTTAGTAAATTTTTAAAAATGTTCCAAAAATTCTGATTTTGTGGTGTTATTTCCACAACATTTAAAAAATTAAAGGTCTGACGAAACTGTAAAGTACTAGGGGAAAACAGACTATTTTTTCTCATTATCTTGGAAAGGGGAGTGCCCTTGTAAATATAATTCCCTTCCTCCCCAAAAAACAGAAACTGTAAATTCAACCATACAAAATAAAAATTCTCCTGCGCCATTAGAAAACTAAAACAGGGCCGGCCCCGTGGCTTAGCGGTTAAGTGCGCGCACTCCGCTACTGGCGGCCCGGGTTCGGATCCCGGGCGCGCACCGACGCACCGCTTGTCCAGCCATGCTGAGGCCGCATCCCACATACAGCAACTAGAAGGATGTGCAACTATGACATACAACTATCTACTGGGGCTTTGGGGGCAAAAAAGGAAAGAAAACCGAGGAGGATTGGCATGGATGTTAGCTCAGGGCTGATCTTCCTCACCAAATAAATAAATAAATAAATAAACAAAAAACATCGCAACAATAGCACCAACACCACTACATATAAAGTCAAAAGTCAAACAACAAACTGGAGGACAATATTTGCTACACATCCCTGACAAGGGTCTGGTTTCCTTAGTAAAAGACTCAATAAAAAAAGCCCAAAAATCCAGTAGGAAAAAGGCACAAGACACAAATCACAAAAGAGAAAATATAAATGTTTGTAAAACTAAAAAAGACGCTCAATTTCATTTATAGTCAGAAAAATACTAATTAAAACTACAATGAGGTGGGGCTGGCCCAGTGGCGCAAGTGGTTAAGTGCGCACGCTCCACTGTGGTGGCCCAGGGTTCACCGGTTCGGATCTGGAGTGCACACCACTTGGCAAGCCATGCTGTGGCAGCGTCCCATATAAAGTGGAGGAAGATGGACACGGATGTTAGCACAGGGCCAGTCTTCCTCAGCCAAAAAAAAAGAGGAGGATTGGCAGATGTTAGCACAGGGCTGATCTACACACACACACACACACACACACACACACACACACACAAAAAAAAAAACACTACAATGAGGTAACATTTTTAACCTATCAGCTTGGAAAAGATCAAAAAGTTTAACAATACATGGTGTTAGGGTGTGGTGAAATCAGCACTACTGTGCACTGCTTGCTGACTGGAGTACAACTGAATACTATCTCAAAGGAGGGTAATTCGACACTAAAGATCAAAATCGACAATGCACATACCCTTTGACCTAGCAATTTCACTTGTAGAAATGTATCCTCTGGAAATACTGTGCAAAAACATATGTATAAGGATATTTACTTCTCACTTTGTACGCGTATGTAGTATCTTACGTACACATATGCTTACGCGTGCTTATATCTGCACAGAATCTCTGTCAGGAACCCCACACCGGTAACAGTAGCTGGGAAGAGAGCTGGATACCCAGAGACTGGAGATGGAAGGACATTTACTTTTCACTCCATACATTTATGTATCTTTTAAATTTAGAACCACATATGTATTTATTACCTACGCATATATGCACATATAGTACCTAAATACGAAAATATATACTTGTATGATTAAAAAACCCTCGTTTTTAAGAAGTTAAAAAATAACCTTTTAAAGTTTTCCCTCATTCTACAGACCTCAGTTAAAAATATTCAAGAATAAAATTGAGGAATTTTATTTAACTTTCATAATGGCTATTATTGCCTTCTCACTACATTAGGGCATTCACCACAGTCCCCGCCCAGCCCTGTTTGTTTTTTCTCCCTTAACTCACCTTGGCATTGGCAGTATCAAAAATAGTTTCAACGAGTAAGATATCAACCCCACCATCGAGAAGCCCTTCGGCCTGCTCTTTGTACGCTTCAACAAGCTCATCAAACGCTGCAAAAAATAAATCACACCCAAGACATCAGTCATCAATATCCTCTGATCGGCCAGGACAGGCTGAGCTCAGGCCTGGCACTTGGGAACTGACTACTGCTGGTTTATAATGCATAATGTAAGGTCAACACCACCTTTCATAAGAAATCGCATAAAGAAATATGGCAGTGACGGAAGCTAACCCAGTAAATTGAACACAGCTGCTCCTAAACACTTACCACACAGCCTCCACTTCCCATGGATGAGCCAAGAATGAGTGAGCGAGTAGGAAGGGGTATGATGTCTTGGGCGCTATATCTTACTTTCAACATCTTTAAAATAGATCCTTCTTTCCAAGGACGGTAGTTTTGGGGGGTTTTTTTGTTGTTTTGTTTTTTTTTGTGAGGAAGATTAGCCCTGAGCTAACCTCTGTTGCCAATCCTCCTCTTTTTGCTGAGGAAGATTGGCCCTGGGCTAACATCTGTGCCCATCTTCCTCTACTTTATATGGGACGCCACCACAGCATGGCTTGACAAGCAGTGTGTCGGTTGGTGCCCAGGATTGGAACCTGCGAACCATGGGCCACTGAAGCGGAGCGCTTGAACACCACCGGGCCAGCACCCTCCAGGGATGGTTTTAATCAACCAAGGGATGAGTGTGAGGAATAACTAGAGAAACATGTCACACTGATTTGGATACACAACAGGTTGAGTCACATTCTCTCACACTCTCTGTGGTAAAAGGCTACAGTCCTGTGGATTTTGCTCTTGCCCTCTGACACCAATACTGTCAGTGAGGGAACCTGCCTGATGGGCAAATTCAGTCTCAGACAAGTGTTCGATCACTCCTGGGCAAAATTTCTGTTAGAAATGTCTTGAGTTGTCTATTTCCATCTGAGAGTCATTCTTCTCCCCACTTTACCTCCCTACCAAAAAAGAAAAAATGCTCAGATGTTCAATAAAGAAGCCTAAACAGCATGTTTATGCTTGCTGTGTAAGTATACTTCGTCTTATACAGCACAAGAGAAAGGAAAAGTTAAGGGCTGGCCCCGTGGCTTAGCGGTTAAGTGCACGCGCTCCACTGCTGGCGGCCCGGGTTCGCATCCCGGGCGCACACCGACGCACCTGCTTCTCTGACCATGCTAAGGCCGCATCCCACATACAGCAACTAGAAGGATGTGCAACTATGACATACAACTATCTACTGGGGCTTTGAGGGGGGGAAAAAAAAAAGGAGGAGGATTGGCAATAGGTGTTAGCTCAGAGCCGGTCTTCCTCAGCTCCTCATTGTCAGGCCCAGACCAAAGAGAGCACCAACCACACATAAGCCCAGTAGAAGCAACCCTTGGTGAAAGAGTCTGGTCACTACATGGAAAGTTCGGACCAAAACCTACAAACGGTACTTGCCAGAACTTGTCATCTACACAAAATTCACTTCCATACATAGGATCATTACTATTCAGCTCTGATAATTTAATTCTTTTTGCTTTTTGTAGTCTTGATGCTTGAGAAATTGACCTAGATTTCTAGATTTTTCATAAAATCTCAATGTAAGTATGTTTATATATGCTAGTTTATAGTGTTTATAATGCTAGTATGTTTACATAGTTTGGACTGCTTTCTGATAAGTAAAATGGTGGTCTAGTGGGTTATTCCATAATAGAGCAAGGCCTGGTATCCATATTTTCTCAACTTCTCAGTTTAAAGCTTAATTTTGATTGATTTTATTTCTATAGCTGATAAAGCAGCACTAACGCAACACCATGTACATTTTAAAGCAAGCTCAAAAATAATAATAACAGCTAACTTTTTATTTAGGTGTTTATTGTAAGGCCTTCATGTGGATCAAGTCAGAGTAACCCTGAGGTAGATGCGGTTATTGGTCCCATTTTGCAGACTTACAGATTACAGAAACACAGACGTACTTGCCCAAGCTCAATGATTACACATGATAAATACTCACTGAGGGCCGGCCCCGTGGCTTAGCGGTTAAGTGCGCGCGCTCCGCTGCTGGCGGTCCGGGTTCGGATCCCCGGGCGCGCACCGACGCACCGCTTCTCCGGCCATGCTGAGGCCGTGTCCCACGTACAGCAACTAGAAGGATGTGCATCTATGACATACAACTATCTACTGGGGCTTTGGGGGAAAAAAATAAATAAAATTAAAAAAAAAAAAAATACTCACTGATGTTCCTATAATCTGGTTTTTCCACAGACGGGGACACAGAGAGTGTCTTATTAGTTGGACCCAGAGCTCCCGCCACAAACCTCTTAATTCCTTTGGGAAAAGAAAAACAAGCGTGAAACCTCTAAATAGCTTGACCTTTTTGTTGAAAATCAATGGGCTATAAGATTTTCCCCAGAACACAGATCTACAATCATTTGTCCACAACTCTAAAATCCAAAAAGCGGGGCCGGCCTGGTGGCGCAAGCGGTTAAGTGCGAGCACACCGCTGCCACGGCCCGGGGTTTGCTGGTTCTGATCCCAGGCGCGCACCAACACACCGCTTGTCAAGCCATGCTGTGGCAGCGTCCCGTATAAAGTAGAGGAAGATGGGCATGAATGTTAGCCCAGGGCCAGTGTTCCTCAGCAAAAAGAGGAGGATTGGTAGATGTTAGCTCAGGGCTGATCTTCCTCACAAAAAAAAAAGTACAACAGTATAAAATCCAAAAAGCAACAAAGACCAAATTTCTTTCTCAATTCATTCAACAAAACTTGACCTCTCCTGAACTAACAAGAGGCTATTTATAGTCTTGATCCCATTTAGTGGCAGGATTCATAGATTTTACTGTAAGTATGTTTGGTTATGGGGGCTGTCCCAGATCCCACTGGGGAAATTATGAAACTTAGGGGATGTGCACATACTGTTGCCAAGCCAATCCAAAAAACTCTCTGAGTTCTCACGTGTCTGGCTTCAAAGCGTTTCAGTAAGTAGTCCTTTTCTATCACAAAAGCTATGTTTGGGCAAATTCTCTCTCTCTTTATTCTTAAGAAACCCTGAAGATGCTGAACATAACATAGGTTCTGCAACAGCTCCTCTTAGTAGCAGTCAACTTGAACCGCTCCCTGGTATTGCACCGTAGGCCCTTTACTGGGGGAAAATATCAGATCAGGATTACCAATTATAAAGCCTGAAATTAAAGTATGAAGCAGACCAAATATTAGTTAATAACTCTTAATAATTCTTGAATTACCTTTCCTCTAGGCTAGAGTCTAGGTGCTTCTAAAAAGACATTGTGTTCATTTACATATCACAACAGAAGCCAGGGGTCATAGTGCCCATTACCTTTGGTGATTTTAACCACTCAATAACTTGGGTTATGCTCCACAACTTAACTGGAGAAGACTACTGACTAGTTGATAACCCAGCCTTTGAACAGTTTACAGGCCCACATATTCTTTATCTTCCCCAAAGCTGAACAATAATATCAGCTTAAGAAAAATGTTCTTATCTTTCTCTGCTTTAGCTGGTTTAATATATCCTATGACCTGCAACTCTGTTGGGGTAATAGTCTATGCATTTCCATGGATTTAAACTTTATCTCTCAGAAACCGAGTTCCTATAAATTACTTCAGTCTTCATTAGTATGCTGTGTCTAACTTCCTAACAATTTTGCTTTACATCTCTCCTGACGGCAATAACTTCACATTTCCAAACTTAAGGGGCCCCATATATTTCTTCTATTCCTTTCCCTCCCTCAAAGCCTCCCCACCAGCTGGTGCCCAAGTAGGATGGCAGCCAGCCAGGAGGTTAGTTATTTCAGGAGCCACTTCTCAAGTTCCAGCAAGACTGAACCTAATGCCACACTCTTCTGTGCGCTACACAGAGCCTGCAAGGACATTACTGGTATGAAGTGGAAAATGCTCAAAAGACAGTATCTCTTTACCCAGATAAGCTGATCACAAGGATGAGGGTAACTTTAAAGGGATAAGATCAAATACCTTAATGAAAACCAAAATAACCAAAACAGTCAGCTGTTGCCTTAATAACCGAATGGTATGCTTCCAAGGAGAGAAAATTATTTTAGCTGTAAATATACAAGGAAGCCACAGTGCTAGCTACAACGTTAGGACATAACCCCCAGCAGAGTAAACAGAGCATAAACCCTGAGCCCAAGGCCCCCAGGGATGGTATCAATTCAGAGAGACACTGAATGCTTGATCACGAAACTGCGGAGAAGTCACCTACAAACAAGTACAATATGCTGTCTACAGTGTTGCCAGTAGCCAACTGTCAGGAAAGGAGACAGAGCAATAAGGACAGCACATCACAGCTGAGAATGTCAAGGGAATTACCTCTGTAAAAAGGGGAGGAGAAGGCTCCTTACCTGTCTGGACAGTGATCTCCTCAGCTGCTTTTCTGGCCACTCCTGCAGAGCACTTGTTCATCTGGTAGGCCTAACACATCAATCGCAATGTTAGCTTGTCCTTCCTTTCCTCCACACAATAAATGAGCAATTCATGACTTTACAAAACCCAGTTTTACTCAGCAGGAAATATAGAGGGAATTAAGGTGAGGTCTGAATGAAATCTTAGCCAAGAAGGCCTTAACGGCAGCAGGAAAGGCAAGAGTCTTTGGGAACTGCTTTTAGGTTCTTCCCCTAAACCATGAGCTAGCTGGGAAAAAGGGCAATCTCTGGACATCTGGCATGTCAGAGAATAACCTGATGTAGTTAAATATCCTGAGAATTAGAAAAAAGTATAGTAATAACGAAAAAAGCACAGACTTCAGAGACAGGAGACCTGAGTTCCAGGACCAGCTCTGTTACTGCCTGCCCGGGCAGTTCCCTTAGCAACTTCTTCAGGCCCTGATCTCCTTCACTGTACCATAGTTGAAATCAGTGGTTCTGAACTTTCTGTAGATTAATGATTAACATCTTGAGAATCTGGTAAAGGGTCTTGAACACTCTCACTAGCAAATAAAAAGCAAGTACACAAACACATGAAGTACTGCCTACGACTGAAGGAAGCTCAAGGGCCTCCTGAAGCCCTTCCACAGACCTGATTGGGAGGTCCTGGACTTGTGATCTTCAAGATCCCTTCTAATTCTAAGATTCCATGTGACTTGGATCCTCATATCTAGTCATTAAGAAATGAGAACATCCTAAAATAGGGGTTAGCACACTACAGCTCCTAGGACAAATCTAGCCTGCTGCCTGTTTTTATAAATAAAGTTTTATTAGAATACAGTCAAGCCCATTCATTTACTTATTGTCTTTTGCTGCTTTTGCACTATAACGATAGAGTTGAGTAGTTGCAACTGAGACTGTATGTAGCCAAGAAAGACTAAAATATTTACTATCTGGCCCTTTTCAGAAAAAGTTTGTCAAATCCTACCCGAAAATAACACAAAAGTAACTGCAACATAAATTCAATTTTCCTTCATAAGCCAAAAAGGCATGTAATCCCACAAAGCCCCAAGATCATGGCAGAAATCAGTGTCGGAGCACTCTGGACTACCTGCATGGAAACAGAGGTATGTTTCTGGAAAAATCCCACACAGAAATGGGATCCTCAGCATCTACCATGTATTTTCCATCAATAACATTTACAAAATTTGAATACGGAAGCATCCTGCTGATTAAAAAGAAACCAAATCTGCAACCCCACGCCCACTAGGATGACTACTATCCAAAAAAAACCAGAAGAAAAGAAGTGTTGGAAAAGATGTGGAAAAACTGGAACCTCTGTACACTGTCAGTAGAAATATAAAATGGAATTTTGTATTTCTGTGGACTATAAAAGCCACTGTGGAAAAAAGTATGGTGATTTCTCAAAAAATTAAACATAGAATTACCATATGATACAGCAATTCTACTTCTGGGTATATACTCTCAAAGATAATGAAAGCAGGGATATGAATGGATATCTGTACACCCATGTTCTTAGCAGCATTGTTTATAATACCCAAAAGGTGGAATAAACCCAACTGTCCATTAATGGATGAATGGATAAACAAACTGTGATATATACATATAATAGAATATTATTCAGCCTTAAAAAGTACGGAAATTCTGACACATGCTACAACATGAGTGAACCATGAGGACTTTAAGCTAAGTGAAATAAGCCAGTCACAAAAGAACAAACACTGTATGATTCCACTTATATGAGGTACCTAAAGGAGTCAAATTCATAGTGACAGAAAGTAGAATGGTGGTTGCCAGGGGCTGGTAGAGGAGAATGGAGAGTTTTGCTTAATGGGTACAGAGTTTCAGATTTGTAAGATGAAAAGAATTCTGTGGATAGATGGTGATGATGGTAGCACAACAATGTGAATGTACTTAATGCCACCGAAATATACACTTAAAAATGGTTAGGATGGTAAATTTTATGTTACATGTATATTGCCACAATTTAAAAAAAAGGAAACCAAATCTGCCACCCAATGCTTAAAAAGGTCTCACAAAACTATGTACACAGCCAATCATTATGCCTTTATCAACAGACACTGCATAATAAGTATCATTTTTATTTGATTATTACTTGCCCATAGAAGAAGCCAGTTGGAAAATGAATGGGCTGCTGTGTTCATAAGCAGAAGAGATTCAAACCATTTTCCCTGTCTGATCACAAACAATAGATAACTAGGCATCAGCTTGACTCTGCAGCTTCTGGGTGTTTTTTCACTAGCAATTAACAATGTGGCAAATGCTCAAGCACATCTTAGATATGAAGAAAAATGGAATTCTTACCAAATGTTCAAGACCATAGTCAGCTTGGGCAATACTAGTGCTGCTAAAAGTATTTGTTTCAATGATATCTGCCCCAGCCAGCAAATAATCCTGAAACAAGAGAGAGTATGTCAATACTGAGTTTTAGAATCCCTGTCTCCCAACAATAAAGATGTATTTCATCATCACCACCAAACACCTTCTGACCGCTTACTAAGTGAAGTAAGGCACCGCACTAGAGGCTAGAGATGAAAATAGAATTGAATTCAGACAAAGTTCACACACTAAGTTGTGTGAATTGAGTCAAGTTCCTTCAACTCTCTGAGTTTCAGTTCCCTCATTTGAAAGTATTATAAGCCTTCTTCACAGGGTGGCTATCTGACGATACAGATAACACACCAAGTGTCTGGCACAGGATGGCACTCAACAAACGTTAGTTCTGTTCCCTTGCCTTCTCCCTGCTTCTGATCCCCACCGAGAACTGCACTCTCTCTGAAATCTCAATTCTGACCACATCCCGTCCACATCTCCTAGTCCCTCTGGACCAGATCAACACCCTTACTAGAATCTTGAGGACGCTGGGGGCCAGCTTCCTGTTCTCCCTGTTTGAAACCTTTCTTCCTCCTTTCACTCTTTGGAGACCAACTCAACCCCAATCTGATGAGCACTCTGGAATCTCTGAACCCCCTTGATTTTCCAACAGTGAGTAAACCCAACCCCTCCTAAGTGATGAACACTGTTTGCAGAAAAGCTGGGAAATGAAAACCAAGATTTACACATTTATATTAAGTCTCAAACACCCTCAATATCCATCAATAGGGAAATAGCTAAATAAACTATAATATGTCCATTTTATTACATGCTATGTGGCAGCTAAAAAATATTGTGTACATCTACATATAAAGACATGGAAAGATCTCCAAAAGTATGTTGAGTAGAAAAACAAAATTGACTGATATGTAAAGCATGACACCATTAAGACATACATACACACAAACAGTAATATGAGTTTTCTACAGATATATTTGTACATATACATATGTATACACATGTATACATATATATAAATGCATAACAAAATGATCTGGAAAGATATACACCAACTAATATAAGTGGTTATCTCTGGGGAAAAAAATAGAAATTTGGAGTAGTGGTCAAAAGGGAATCTATTCTTATCCATAGGCTTTGTTTTATAAGAACAGATTAATTAAATTTTGATTTTACCAAAAAAGCAAGAAAAATTGAAAATAACTTTAATGCCTAAGAATAAAGAGATTAGTTAAGTAATTGATGATATATACATAGAATAGATTATTATGAAGTCATTAAAACTATATTTCAGAATATTTAATGCTCATTGTATATAAGTAAAAAATGCAAATTATAAAACTGTATGAAGTAATATAATCCCAATTTAATTTTTAAAATCCAAGTATAGAAAACTAGATGGAAATATAAATTAAAATGTGTGAATGGCAGTTATGTCTTGGTATTGATATTATAAGCAGTTTTTATTTTCTCTAAGCTTTTCTATATTATCTAGCAAGACCTGGTTTTTTGTTGTTTTTTTTTTTTTTAACAATGAACACATACTGTCTTTATGGTTGTGGAAAAATATTTCTAAATTCCAGTTATTTTTTCCTCCAATTTTGTATAGATTTGAAAATTTCCATAATATAAAGTTTAAAAGGTGTTTCTTCTAGCTCTGCACTGTCTCTCTCCACCTTCTTTCCTGGCTCATTATTCCATTCATGGGCTCTGGATATGACGCCCTTGGAGTCTAATCGTATTCTCACCAATTTAAAAAATGCCTCATCTGGAGCAAGCTACTTAATTTCTCTGCTCCTCAGTTTTCTCATGGAGAAAGCTGACAAAATTAAAGGAGGGCATTAATGACAGCATTTCTACAGGCTAACAGATGTTTTAAATATTGTTTCCTGTGGGTCTCAGCCCATCGATAATGAGGATCTCAGCTAGAAATGCCTGAGGCACTCACGTAGGCCTATACTACTTGTGGGAGCCCCAATGAAGCCAGCACTGTGGCTAGACTGGCCCTTGTGTTTCTTATGATTGCAAGACACACCTCAGCAACAACTATCAGGGAACTTTTGAAAAAACAAGTTTTATTACTCACAAATCCTAGAGCATACAGACATGGGGCCCCTGGGGCCACACAGCAAGGCAGGTGGGGGTAGGGGAAGGCAAGTGCACGAGTGTGAACATGGGGATCTGCCTTTATGGGGATCAAGGGTGGCGTGCCTAGGGTTCCCAGGGTTCACCCTTTATTGGCAAATTTAAAACATAAAAGCAGGAATCAGGGTGCGAGAAGGTAAAAGCAGGGTCACTCAAGCAGTCAGTTATCTAGGTTACCCAGGGCTTTCTGAAAGGGGAAGTTCATGGGAGGCAGCAGCCTGGTTCCTTCTTCACTTGTTCAGCTGGTAGCTGTGTCACAGAACTGGCGATATGTTGATTCGAGATGGATGTCTTTGAAATGGATGCCTCCCCAATTACAAGCTTAACGTCAGGCACTTGGATTACAATCGGAAAAGCTTATTGTCCAGGCACTTTCATTACAAATATAACTTGGACATTCCATTAAAATTAAACATCAGGGGATCTGACCTACAGTCACTAACTCCACTAGAAATAACTAAGTGTGAAAATAACCAGTCTCTTTCCCTTCTTTGTCCATGAACACGACATGGTCTCTACATTCAACGTACTCCAGCTAGTAAACATTCCCCCAGGAATGGGATGGCCAGGTATACCTTATGGTATTTACAGCCATTTTTGCTTCACGGGAACCCTGTTGTTCTATCTGGATGCCTATCTAATGCATAGAACAAGGATTCACTCCTTTAGTGATAGTTACTGAGTTCTTAGTGTGCAAGATACTGTTCTAGGCATTGGGTATTCATAGTGAAAAACAGGCATAAATTCCTGCCCTCAGGAAGCTTATACTCTAGTGATAATCCACATGAACAATAATGACAAAGCCATATAGCATGGTATTTCGTATGATTTCATCAATTGTATTATAAGAACTGATATTTGTAACCATTAACCATACCAAGCAATTCATACCCATGATGACCTTCCCAATCTACAATACACTGGGATTTTATAACGGGATTTGACTACATGTTCTCAAGGCCTAGCAGAAAAACTTAGTTAACATTCTTCCTGCAGAACCAAACCTGTTTAAGGACCAATTTTAAATCTTCTAGTACCTACAATTCCCATTATGACCAAAGGAAAGGCATTCTTAGTTTTTCTTCAAATGAAAACTATTCTGCATCTTACCTAGAACAGTCTTGACCACCCAATAGAATGATCGCTTCCACACTCAATTAATTAATCACTGAGTAATTTCTTTAGGTGATTTTTCTTTTCCTTAAGAAGAGTCTGAAACACCTATAACAATGCCCTTCTCCAGAAGATAAAACTTGCTCACTTACTGGTAAATATGCTTTGTCCTTCTAATTGAATCTAGACCAAGAAAACAGATTAAATCACCTTATTATCTCTTCTATTCATAATTCTGTGAAATTCCTATAACCTAGAAAACAATTTGTTTATTTTTTATTTATTTATTTATTTTGTGAGGAAGATTAGCCCTGAGCTAACATCCGATGCCAATCCTCCTCTTTTTCCTGAGGAAGACTGGCCCTGGGCTGACATCCGTGCCCACCTTCCTCTACTTTATATGGGACGCCGCCACAGCATGGCCTGACAAGCAGTGCGTAGGTGCCTGCCCGGGATCCGAACCTGCGAACCCCGGGCCGCCGCAGCGGAGCACACGTACTTAACTGCTGTGCCACTGGGCCGGCCCCAGTTCTATGTTTATTTTTAAATTTTAAAGTCTTGCACTACTCAGTGACTTGCTTCTGATCTCTTGATGTTGGCTAGCCATTTCTAGTGGAGACAGAAAAATGCAATGCAAGAACACAGGATTTCCAGTCAATACACCTCTATAGCATCAGGCAAGTTATTTAACCTCTGTGATCCTCATTTTCCAAACCTACAAAATGAGAATAATAACTCCCTTTCAGTTTTACTTCATCAGGGCCATTGTGGTGACTTAAATAACAACGTGTATGTGAAAACCCTAATGTGTCCATGATTTTACGGTCTTTTACTCGAGTATAAATGCCTCAAAGGCAGAAAACCTACCTTCCTCACCTCCTTATCCTGAGTGCTCAACACAGTGCATGACTTTTATTTGGTGTCCACCACCTGCTTTCTGAACAAACCACTCTTTCTTCAGTATCCTCTAGAGCACTCAGCACAGTGGTCTGCCCTCAGTGTACAAAATGGCTTACAGAAAGACAGAATGAAAATATAAGAACCTGGGGATACTTTACCTTATGGATTTGGTAAATGACATTGGGTTTAGTTATACTTAAAATGTCATTGTTGCCTTTCAGTGGCCTGGCATGATCTTTAAATTCTTGACCTCGAAAGTCTTCTTCACTTAGCTTATGCCGCTGGATCATCGTCCCCATCCCTCCATCTAGCACCATAATCCTCTCCCGCAGAATGGCTTCAATCTCATCCTGCAGGGTTTTCTTCATACCTGCTTCAAAGAAAGTAAAAACTTGACTTTAAAAAAAGAAGCAGAAAAAGAGGGGTGGAGAGGAAGTTTAGAGTAATTTAGAACAATTCACAATAAGGAGTAAATGGGGCTCATAAAAGACATACTCATTACTCTACAACATCAGAAAAATGCTGCCCAAAAATGTTTTCATTAAGTTACAACAATGCGGGGCCGGCCCGGTGGCGCAAGCGGTTAAGTGCGCGCGCTCCGCTGCGGCGGCCCGGGGTTCGCTGGTTCGGATCCCGGGCGCGCACCGACGCACTGCTT